GCTGCACCACTCATGGTTGCCTGGTAAATAACGCGGCAAGATATTAAGTCCGCCACATGTACAAATTTTTTTGTGCATTAAAGTTAAATAAATAAAAAAAATACAATACTGTTTAATGAAAATGCGTATTGTCTAGTGCTTTGAGATGTATCAAAATAAGGTCAACAAAAAAGTGATGGTATATGTCTATCTCTCAAGGATAACCAACAATAACCATTTTTTATCTTTTACATTTTACGGGAATTTTTTTTATCGTATGTTTCACTTAAAATCATGTAAACTATGCTATTATGTCATAATCTAAAGAAATAATAATATTTTATAGTGAAATATCCACTATAAAATAATAATGTAAGTAGCAATGTAATTCGTTACGCGCGAATCAGGTGTTATAAGGTCAAAGGTCGGTGCACCCCGCGTATTTGATAAATAGTGCTTCTCTGGATGTCTTTAAGAGAAAATAGCAGTATGTACGTGTATATGTACAAGTCCTTAAGTGTTAAGTTTTTCAAATGTACAATAAAGAATAAATATTTTTAAGTACAGTACTTACGTACATTAATATAATACCTACTTTTTACTTGTATCTATTGTCATTAAAATTAAATTATAAGTTCTTAACTTGACCACGACTATGTGACCCTCTCTTGGCGCCAAAACGAGTGAAAAAATGAACAGCATACGACGACGACGCATACCTATAGAGTGGAGCAACTGCTTATTCAGTTTTATTCAACTATTTAGTCCCTCCACCGTTACAATGAATGGAGGCGCATATTACAATGTACGTAGCATTGCGAATATAAAATATCTAGATTAGGTATAATAAATTCATAATTGATAGTCCGTTACGGTATCAGAGCCAAAAAGTCTTCTTTCTTTGTTTATGTACTGTTAGATGCGCCAGCGACTTTGTTTTATACTACACTATGTAATGATTGATATACCTAAAATAAATAAAATATCTGAGGTTTGGACAAAAATTCAAAAGGTACTTTATTTTGAAAAAGTATTTTGAAAATACCTATTTTGCATTTAGTATTTGAAATACAAAACACAAAACTATTTTTGTTTTTAGAGTGACATTTCTATGAATTCACTGTCGATAGCGAGCGGTGCGATGGAAAAAGATAACCGTTTATAAAAATATAATAAATAGCCCTGGACAATTAACACAGACGGATACTGAACTGATATAAATAGATATTTTTATTTTGTAAATACATATATAATATACATATAAAACACCCAGACCGATGAAAACAATCGATGACCGATGAGTACAAATGTTTGCACCGTGCGAGAAATCGAACCCGTGACCATCGGATGTAAAGCGGTGTGACCACCGAGGCAGTCGATATATATAAATAATCTTATGAATTTAATTTATTCTAATTTGTTTGTGTGCGCGGGGTGCGGTGTACGGTGCTCCCCCCTGCCTCCACCGTTGCTAGAGCTTGCATGTATGGAGCATTGCGAATATAAAATATCTAGATTAGTAAATTCATAATTGATAGACCGTTACGGTATCTATATATATTCTGATTAAAATAAGTATCGCAGTAAGGACCAGTATATAAAGTGATCAACACAATTAATTGATTTTTGAAATATATATACAGAGCCAAAAAGTCTTTGTGTATTCAAAAAATATCTAATTTGTTTGTGTGCGCGGGGTGCGGTGTACGGTGCAGGGGGGACCCTGCCTCCACCGTTGCTGGAGCTTGCATGTATGGAGCATTGCGAATATAAAATATCTACATTAGTAAATTAATAAATTCATAATTGATAGACCGTTACGGTATCTATATATATTCGGATGAAAATAAGTATCGCAGTAAGGACGAGTATATAAAGTGATCAACATAATTAATTGATTTTTGAAATAAATTCAGAGCCAAAAAGTCTTTGTGTATACCAAAAATTTAGCCGTTCGGAGCCAGTCATGCACGAATTATTAGTAAAAAATGTGTCGAGTATATCGTACTATCGACGAATATATATGGCCACATCGCAAAATAGAATGCGACGTTGCCATACCGCCTGAGATATACGCGATAGGAGTCAAGTTATTCAGTGCAAAAGGTGGAATCAGCAAGTGTATAGGTTGTGGCGTGATCAACAAAGTGCCCAAAGAGGTGTTTATATATATATATATATATATATATATATATATATATATATATTTATATATATATAATACATGTACAAAACTTCCTCTTGAATCATTCCATATTTTAAAAAAAATCCCGCTTCAAAATCTGTTGCGTAGTTTTAAAGATTTAAGTGTACAAAAGGATGGACAGACAGCGACAGTGACTTTGTTTTACACTATGTAATGATATATGTATAAAAAAAACGTATATGTAACAGTGTATATAACTGAATTTTCTCTACTGTAGATATAAAGAGTTTTTTACTCGTTTTAAATTTGATGTCATTATTTGTACGTACAGTTACGAAAAACCAATAAAAATAAATAAGACGCGGTTAGATCCCTAATAAAGAGTCTTTATTTTATTTTTTATTTATAAATAATGTTACAAGTGACAACCCTAGCCGTTATCATAATTTATTAGTACCTCGCTCCACAGGTACGGACGCGTGGCTTATCTGTCCTCCGTGCGCTTAACTAGATTCAACCCCGGTTATAGTCGAAAATGACCGGTATATTACTATAATGTACACATTACGTAGGTTCCACTAAGCAGTATCCGGATATCCGGATACCAAAGGCCATTAAGTTAAGAACGTCGTTTCATAATATTTCTAAGAGATTCTGAAATTCAATTTCTTGTACTGCGGAATGGTATATTAATATTGTGGACCTTTACGTTTGCTTCGATGGCAAAAATAAAGGTCACCAGCCTTAGTATGCAACCTTACTTCCGATGGTTGCAGTTCGATTCTCGACCTATAGAGATTTTTTTATATTTGAGTACCAATAAGATATAAAAGATAATCTATATCCGTTCTCGTATTAATCTAACAATATATCTTCACTTTAAGAACTTTTTACTTGGGAGTATGTAACAAAACTCGGTGGTTTAGCGTTTAAGCGGTCTTTGCAACGCATCAGGAATCGAATCCCCGACCATCGGAAGTAAAATGGTATATTTTACTTCCATTGGTCGCGGATTCGATTCCTGATACGTTGCAAAGAACACATTCATGAGACACATGTATGGGTCGGGGTATTTTCTGTATATTATGTATGAATTTATAAAAATATAGACAAGTATTTCTATCAATTGTTTAGTACCCATAAAACAAGCTCTGCTTAACTTAGTTCTAGATGGCGTTCAAAATTCAAAAATTCAAAATTCAAAATATCTTTATTCATGTAGGTCTATTACAGACTCTTATGATATGTCAAATCTACCGTCAGTTCGGAATGATATCGAGATGAGAAGAACTGACAAGAAACTCAGCTCGTATTTTTTTTTTTCAAATAATAGTGGAACATGTTTATGATAAATACAGTTATTAAAATTCAAATTTGGGAGAATAGAGTGACCACCAGCATATGCTATCGCAAAGAACAAAAAATTTATTCAGTGTTCACAACCTGAACAGACCAATCCCCACAAGCAGCACCCGTTCACGAGTATGACGTATGAGTGTTGTGTGAATTGTTCAGATTTATTCTTATCATTATAATGAATGTACAATAACGTCCAATAAAATAACATTATTCGTCTCCTAAAATGTGGTATTTATTATTAAAATGGTATCCAATAATTCTCACATAATACAAGTCCGTACTCTGCCAGCCGCGTTAAACTTTCCTAGAACTTGACCTAGATTTATGACTGAAATATATTTAGGGGAAGAGAAAAGGCTGCGCCCACCATATCCACCATATCTTGTATTCCACATAGAGTTATATTGCGTTAGATACCTATATTTTAGTGAGAATTATATCTTCAGTTTCTCCTAAACTCACGTATTTCAGTTTGAAACTAGCCTAAATAATAGAGATCTAAATGTACTGTATAGGTATTTATAGACAATTTCTTTTCTATTTAGTTTTAATGTAATATTATTAAAATTATAATAATAAAAAACTTAATTGATAAATATAAATATTGCGTTATATATGTAAGTAACCATAAATTTACCTCTTTTACCTATGATATTTTTTTTAAATAGATAGACTCTTTGGAGATTCCTAAAGTTTTTTAATGCTAAATAATTTGACTGGTAACCAGGCAAAATTATACAGCGTCTTTATCAGTAATACTAATATTTGATTTTAGTTTTCGACAATTATTTGCTAATATTAAATTAAATCTTGGTATTTTATTTCGAACTACTCTAATGCTGTTGGCCGCAGCTGGCCTTTACAGCTTCACCAAAGACGAGTTCAGATGGCACTCCAAACTCGAAGAAGGCTGATAAAACGGCTGAAAGCCATCTCCAGCTTGTGGGACAAGTATATTCTCAGTCATTATATTTATATATGCATATTCTTAAGTGGTTTGAAACCGTGTAATAACCGTACGTTTTGCATCCACCGATTAACTGCAACTTCTCTTTTGATTTTTAACTTATGAGCCTAAACTTATTCATCTATACATCTATACATGAAAATAAAATAGGAGTGTCTGTTTGTAATACTGAAATAATATGAATATAAATACGGTATGTATATATACCAAAATAAGATTTTTTACAATTTTTGTCTTTCTGTTTGTTCCGGCTAATCTCTGAAATGGCTGGACTGATTTTGACGTGACTTTTTTTGGCAGGTAGCTGATGTAATAGGGAGTAACTTAGGCTACTTTAATTCCAAGCGGACGAAGTCGCGGGAATAGCTAGTAGACAATATAATTCATTTCCGCGGCAGTGTTATATCACTTTTCTTTTATTTAGAAATAAATTAAAGCTAGTCGACATTACAGACGACTAAGATAAAAAAAATATTATAGGCAACGATATAACCATAACAAGTAGAAAAACATAGTCCATTCAATGAATAACCATTATATTAAGCTTACCTGAATGAAAGGGTAGTCAACGGTCTGTATGACTTATGACTGTTCACATCGGCCATCGGAGTCCCCCAGAAGTCGTCCAAAAGCAGATGCTTCAAGGAATTACTCCCAGTGACGTCACCATTCGTCACGATGGCCGGTATATCATCATGTACGAAGTCACCGTTGAGGCTGTTCATGTAGCTGAGGACCGCAGTGGTGGTCACCATCACGTAGATGGCGTAGTCGCCGTTTCTACTGTTCTTGGACGGCTCCTCGCGGACAGTGGTGAGCGAGCGTCGCTTCATTTTGGGTGTGTTCCTCAATACTTTCACAGTCACATGTTTGCACCTACACATTTGTAGATTTTCTGTAACAATCGAAATTTTTATATTAGAAATGTATTTATCTATACATATAAATAAAATTGGAGTGTCTGTTTGTAATACTGAAATATCATTTTATTACTACAGGCATATGAATATAAATACGGTACATACACCAAAATATAATTTTTTTTGTCTGTCTGTCTATCTGTTTGTTCCGGCTAATCTCTGAAATGGCTGGACCCATTTTGACGGGACTTTTATTAGCAGGTAGCTGAGTAAGTAATAAGGAGTAACTTAGGCTAATTTTATTTTGGTAAATTCTCGAATTAACTTTTTGTTAAATTCCACGCAGACGAAGTCGCGAGTACAGCTAGTATGTATAATAATACGCATTTATTAACAGTCGTAAAAACAAAAATATAAATAAAGGGCAAGTACAATGCATAATTAAATAATTTTGTTTGACCGTACATTGGACTTCCTCTTTCTAATTGCATATGAATTTACCAAGATGATTTACAGGGAGAACCACGTGGAGTTCGGCCTGACATAGTCTATTGCAAGCAATGGGGTTACTAACCCCCTTCCTTCCAACGAATACGAGATACAACACTATATCTCTATTGGTGGGTATTGTTAGTAATGTGGATTAATAACCCCATTGCTACCCATGTACAATGTCAGGTTGACCTCCACGTGGTTCCCCTTGGAAACCATCATGTTATATTTCTGATGAATTTGCCACGATGGGCTAACTCTCATGATCATCTTATCATCATCTACTGGTGACCCACCAACGTAAACCGTTACCGAAGGCGGGTGCACCATTCCATTATCATCCATAAGAACAAAAACTCTATAAGTCCATCTAGGATTAAAATCTTGATATAATAATAACAAAATATATAGGGAAGGATCATCATCATTATCATCTCAGCCCGGAAGACGTCCACTGCTGAACAAAGGCATCCTCCAAAGATCTCCACGACGATCGGTCCTGCGCTGCTCGCATCCAATGCCTTCCAGCGATCTTAACCAGATGGTCTTTCTACCTTGCTGGAGGCCTTCCCACGCTGCATCTTCCGGTCCGCTATAATATTATATCTTACAGTAATAATAATGTATTATTAATTTAACTTTTTCCACCACACGCCCACAAAATATAATATCCCTATCAAAATGGGAAACTCGCTAAAATGATTACCCATACAAATAGGTACACGGCGTATCGCGTTAACATTCAAGTTGGAATAAAATATCCGGGATTCCATCGCGCTGTTCATGGGGCCGTGAGGGCCGCGTAATCTAAATAACTATTTTTCAATATAGCTGCAATATAACGTTATGAATTTCGTCCAGCCTACTCTAAGGTACGTGCTCCAAATATTATATTTGAAGGAAGAAAAAGGCAAAATATGTGAAGTGGAAACTTGGACGATGTATTTCGGATTTGAAGAGACTGGTGCCGCTTATATTGGACAGATATTCTTTTAATATATTTTTATTTAAAAAAAAAATAATGATGATAACCCTGGACAGTTCACAGTACGTCAAGTATTATAATTTCTATAAAGAGTATAAAATTGTAGTAACAACAGTAGTGTTATATGTATAAGTATATATACTGCAATGTATATATATCTGTCCATATGTTACCTTTCGACGACTAAACGATTGAATAAGTCTTGAGGAAACACATGAAGACATATTGTATTATAAACATATATAGACTATATTTACAAAAACAAAAAAGCTAGCTATCTAGTCTCAGCTAGCATTACCTACTTACTAAACATTCGTAATTGATTACTTAGATGACAAACGTGCATGGCAATAGTTGTTCATGCCCGGGATTTTCATTTAATGTTAGACATAGACACCTATATAAGTGAACAATGTAAAAAAACTGGCTTTTCAAAAAATAGGATACGAGCTGAGTTTCTTGTCCGTCAGTCAGTTCTTCTCATGTCGATATCATTCTAAACTGACGGTATATTGGACATATCATAAGAGTCTGTAATAGACCCACATGAATAAAGATATTTTGTGTAATTTTAGTCGAATTTCTTGCAAATTCTTCTCGATTGAATGGGTATACGGAACCGAAGGGTAGCGAAAAAAATATTAATAAAAAATTGATATACATAAGCGGCTAAATGTCCTACACCAATCAAAAATCCTTTAATTTTGATTTGATTTGATTATTGTGACTGTATGACATGGAAAGGAAATGAATTCTTGGGTAAATAAACAATAAACAATACTTTATTACTTTATTTTTAATATGAAATTATTATTTTACATTATAATGAAGTACATTTTCTTCTATTAACTTCTTATCTCACCAGAGACTACAGAGCATAAATCATAAAGATAAACATAATATTGTTTGTACACAAAGAATCACTCTATCTATTAAAAAAAACCGCTTCAAAATATGTTGCATAATTTTAAAGATTTAAGCATATATAGGGACAGACAGCGACAATGACTGTTTTATTCTATGTAAGTAGCTACTCGCCCCGGCTTGGTACGGGTATGTATAATATATATAAACCTTCCTCTAGAATCTCTCTATCTATTAAAAAAACCGCTTCAAAATCCGTTGCGATATTTTAAAGATTTAAGCATATATAGGGACAGACTTCAGCGGACAGACAGCGACAGCGACTTTGTTTTATACTATATAATGATGACTATTATGTAGAAAGCACGTCGGCAACAAATAGAATCAGATTTATCTCGACCGATCAATACACATTGTTAACTTGTCGCCGTCGAGCAAACATCATTACTGAAATAGCCTGGGGTTTCAGGCCTTCTGTGGGCTGCATAAATAAATCTAAATCGGCCGGGTGAAGGATAAGTAGTTGGTTGTCTCTACGTGTAAATATAGTGTGTAATAGTGTAAATATACTTAGAAATTATTAATACTAGTCTTAACAGAGGCCGTCAAATTATAACCCTACTATCACTACTACATCCGCGTGAAATTTATAGCCTATATGTTATTCTGATGTATAAGCTACATTACTGTAAAGTTTCATTAAAATCTGTTCAGTAGTTTTTGCGTGAAAGAACAACAAACATTCATACTTACAAATTTTTGCTTTTATAATATAACTTAATATTAAGTTCCAAAATAAGCAGAGCTTGTATCCCAGTCCCCAAGTATTAGACAACTGATAGAAGTATATTTTCATGATGATGATATAAATTTATTACATTAACATACAAGGAAACACCCACATCAATACAAACAATCCCACTCATGAATACAAATGTTTGTACTATACGAGAATCGAACTGACCACCGGAATTGAGGCTGTATGCTAAATCGCTGGACTACCAAATCCATCATAAACTAATCGTATTTTAAAATTTATAACAAGGTTTTGTGTAAAACTCCTTATATGTAAATTTTAAAGCTCACTATGTTCTGACATTTAACGTTTTAAACACTCTCATAGACCTATTATTTCACTTATACGACGGTCATGTCATTAGATACTAACTACACAATTACAACTTGTAATTACCCATTAGTTACTAGTTATAAAATATATATGTTCTCATTATTTATATATATTTAATCGAATTAGGTGTTATTTTCCGGAAATCCATTTCACTACATGATGAATTTATATTACTTTGTTTAATTCCGCTAGAATACGTTTAATTGTAGCGGAATAAAATAAAATGATCCATCCATTCATCAAATCCATCAAGTAGCTCATTATTAATATTGTTAACAGGGTCTTAACAAGGATTTTATTGTAAACTAGCGAACCGTCCTGGCTTCGCATGGATCTACAACAAATCTTTGAATTTCTCGGCCTGTTATATACCATAACGCATACATAAACCTTCCTCTTGAATCACTATATCTCTCACTACAAGCTGCATTAGAATCCGTTGCGTGATTTAAAAGTTATAAACGAATATACATGGACGACGAGTTTGTTTTATATTATGTAAAGATATTAGTTTCCTAACTAGAAGTATATCTACGATAAGCCTGATTATATCTACCTATATTTATTTATATTTAATACTTAGCAAAGTTAATTATTTAATGAATTGCTTACGAATACAATTTGACAATATTGCATAGGTCTTCTATAATATTTTTGGCGTGTAAAAGGTTAATGTGATTACTATTTAAATTTATCTGATTCAGTTTTTACTACTATATATGTAAAGATAGTTTTCTCTCTTGGTGTTTCGACTAGGTTGCACTATTTGTGGTCAAGAGCTGATGGATTAGCTATCGTTGATGATCTGACTTATCATTTAACTATATTACTATAATAATTTATACTAAACTTGCTACTCGGCCCGGCTTCGTACGGGTGTACATGTATTATATATATATACCTTCCTCTTGAATCACCCTAACTATTAAGAAAACCGCTTGAAAATGCGTTGAGTAGTTTTAAAGATTTAAGCATACGCAGACAGTGACAGGTGCTTTGTTTTATACTATATAGTGATGTGAAAGTTTAGAAATAGATGATACATTTAACATCAGAAAACAAACAATCCGGCTCGAAGGACCATAAAGATGTATAAGTCTGCTGTGACACACACAATCTGGATGCTATGATATTGTACGAATGATAAGTCCAAACTGCTTGCCAACTTGAATTAATGAGTATACGATGCTTGAGTGTGGACTGACGCTAGCTTGTGTGTATTTGGGTGTACTTAAGGGAAAAAGGTATATGTGGGTGGTATGTGGACGCAGAGCGGTGTGAAATACTGACGGCGACAGTCACGTACCATACAATTAAATTACAAAACAATTATCGCATCCAAACGATAGTAAACAAAACTTCACGCAACTTATTAAAATCAAATTATTATCCAATCGAAATTGTTAATAACAGTCCAGACTGACGCACTACGTGTTAACTATAGTACAGATAGGACGATATGTCCGGCACAGTGGTACCGGCTAGATAACATAAAATTCATAGTTGACTATGTCCGAACTTA